CAGGCCGACGCTCTAACCGCTGAGCCAAACCGGCCAGGGCTGGTTTATTTTTTCAAAGAATCAGCTCTTCATCAGCCTGTGGACCAATGAGTTGCAGGTTTGATTCGGGTCACGGGCACGTACCTCGGTTGTGGTTTGTCCCTGGCCCTGGTTGGGTCATGCAGGAGGCAACCAGTTGATGTGGCTCTATCACATGGATGTTTCTCTCTTTCCGTCCCTCCCACTCTATCTGATAATAAGTGGGAAAATATCCTCGGGTGAGGAATAAAAAATAAAAACAAAGAATCAGCTCTTGATTTCATTGATCTTTTATATTGTTTTTCAAACTCTACTTTATTTTCACTCTGAACTTTATAATTTTTTTTCTCCTACTCACGTTAGGCTTTGTTCTTTTTCTAGTTTATTTAAGTGTAAGATTAAATTGTTTATTTGCGATTTTTCTTGATTCTTGAGAAAAATCTATATTGCTATGAATTTCCCTCGTAGTATTACATTGGCTGTGTCCCATAGATTTGGGGTCATTGTGTTATCATTTTCATCTGTCTCAAGGTATCTTTTGATTTCTTCCTTGATCTCATTGTTAACCTATTCATTGTTTAGTAGCACGTTGGTTAGCCTCCATGTATTGGTGGTTTTTTTTTTTAGCTTTCTTCTTGTAATTGATATCTAGTTTCATACCATTGTGATCAGAGAAAATGCTCAATATGTTTTCAGCCTTCTAAAATTTATTAGGACTTGTTCTGTGGCCTAAAATGTGGTCTATCCTGGAAAATATTTCATGTGCCCTGGAAAGAATGTATATTCTGCTGCTTTGTGGTGAAATATTCTAAAACTATCAAGTTAAATTCATCTAGTCCAATGTGTCATTTACAGCCACTATTTCCTTGATGAATTTCTCTATCTGGATGATCTATCCATTGATGTCAATGGGGTGTTAAAGTCTCCTACTATAACTGTATTACTGTTGATCTCTCCCTTTATATTCGTCATTATTTGCTTTATATTTAGTTGCTCTGGCATTGGGTGCAAAACTGTTTGCAAGGGTTATATACCCTTGTTTGATTGATCCTTTATCAATATGAAATTTCCTTCTTTGTCTATCATTATAGCCTTTGTTTTAAAGTCTATTTTGTCTGGCCCAGCTGGAGTGGCTCAGTTGGTTGAGCATCATCCTGTGCATCAGAAGGTTGTTGGTTTGATTTCCAGTCAGGGTACATACCTGGGCTGTGGGTTCAATCTCTGGTTGGAGCATATGTGGAAGGTAACCAATTAATGTTTCTCTCTCACTTCTTTCTCTCTCGCGCGCTCTCTCTCTGTCTCCCTCCCTCCTTCCCTTCCTGTCTCTAAGCATGTCCTCCAGTGAGGATTATTTTTAAGTCTATTTTGTCTGGTATAAATATTGCTATCTCAGCTTTTTTTTGTTTGTTTGTTTCCATTTGCATGAAATATCTTTTTCTATCCCTTTACTTTCAGATTCTGTGTGTCTTTCAATCTGAAGTGCATCTCTTGGAGGCAGCATATATGGATCTTGTTGCTTATCCATTCAGCTACCCCATGTCTTTTGGTTAGAGCATTTATCCATTTACATTTAAAGTAATTACTATTTTTTATTTATTTATTTATTTTTAAATCCTCACCTGAGGACATTTTTCCATTTTTTGTTCAGATAGAATGGAGGGGGGTGGACATCGACGTGAAAGGGACACATCAAGTGGCTGCCACCTGCACGACCAACCAGGACCAGGGACAAACTGCAACTGAAGTACGTGCCCTTAGCAGGAACCAAATCCAGGTCTCTCTGGACCGCAGGTCTACGCTCTAACCGCTGAGCCAAACCAGCCAGGGCTTAAAGTAATTATTGATAGGTACATATTTATTGACATTTTATTCTTTAAAACTATGTTTCCCTTTTTTTCTTTTTCTTAAAGAAGACCTTTAACATTTCTTAAAATACTGGTTTGGTGGTAATAAACCCCTTCAGCTTTTTCTTGTCTGGGAAGCTCTTTGTTTGATCTTCCATTTTAAAAGAAAGCCTTACTGAATAGAGTAATCTTGGTTGTAGGTCCTCGCTTTTCATCACTTTGAATATGTTATGCCAGTTCCTCTGTCCTGAAGTGTTTCTGTTGAAAAATTAGCCGACGGCCTTATGGGAGCTCCTTTGTATGTAACTCTCTCTCTCTTGCTGCTCTTAAGATTATCTCTTTGTCTTTAACCTTTGTCATTTTAATTGTAATGTGTCTTGGTGTGGGCCTCTTTGGACTTCATTTTTTTATATTCTTTTTTCTTTATTGATTTTTAGAGAGAGATTTGGAAGGGAGAGGGAGAGAGAGATAGAAATATCGATGAGAGAGAACATCAATTGGCCGCCTCCTGCATGCTCCCCACTGGGGAGTGGGCCCACAACTTGGACATGTGCCCTAACTGAGAATTGAACTGGTGACCTCTTGGTGCATGGTCAACACTCAACCACTGAGCCACACTGGCTGGGATTGAGTTCATCTTAATTGGGACTCCCTGTGCTTCCTGGACAGGTGGTCTTTTTCCTCAATCAAGTTAGGGACGTTTTTTGCCATTATTTTTTCAAATAGGTTCTCAATCCCTTGTTTCTCTCTTCTCCTTCTAGTACCCCTACAATATTAATGTTGTTATGCTTTATGTTGTCCCAGAGGTCCCTTAGAGTTTCCTCACTTCTTAAAATTATTTTTTCTTTTTTTAAATTTAATTTTTAAGAGAAAAATCTATCTATCTATCATCTATCTATTCTCTTAAAGTTTTTTGTGTTTATTTATTTATTTTTCTATCACCATTTATTCCTTCTATACCCTCTTCCACATCCACCTTCCCCCTTGGCAATCAACACATTGTTGTCTGTGTCCATGAGTTCTTTCTCATTTTTATTTTTTTTTTTTGCTTAATCCCTCCACTCCCTTTCCCACTCAGTGCTCCCTCTGCTCTCTATGAGTCTGTCTTTATTTTGCTTATTAGCTTCTTTCTTTCTTTCTTTCTTTCTTTCTTTCTTTCTTATTGATTTTAGAGAGAGAGGAAGGGAGAGGTAGAGAGAAATCAAAACATCAATGAGAGAGAACATTGATTGGCCGCCTACTGCATGCCCCCCGCTGGGGATTTAGCCCACAACCTGGGCATGTGCCCAGGAATCAAACCAGTGACCTCTTGGTGCATGGGTCGATGCTCAGCCACTGAGCCACACTGGCCAGGCACTTGTTAGTTTCTTTCATTCATTAGATTCCACACGTGAGTGAAATTATATGGTACTTATCTTTCTCTGACTAGCTTATTTCACTTAGCATAACATTCTCCAGGTTCATCCATGCTGTTGCAAAGGGTAAAATGTCCTTCTTTTTTAATTGCCAAGTGGTATTCCATTGTATAAATGTACCACAGCTTTTTTATTATCCGCTCTTGTACTGATGAACACTTAGTTGCTCTGCTTGGGTGTTTTCTGTTAGTTGTCCTCTAAATTGCTGATTTCTTTTTTCTTGCTTTCATTTTTGTTGTTGACACTATTATCCTCTGCTTCATCTAACCTGTTGTTGATTTTTTCTAGTGTATTATTTATTTCAGATATTCTATTCTTTATATCTGACTAGTTCTGTTTTATGGTTTCTGTGTCTTTTTTTTTAAATCCTCACCCAAGGATATTTTTCAAATATCTTCAGATAGACTGGGAGAGGGCAGGGAGGGAGGACAGAGAGAGAGACAGACAGACAGACATCCATGTGGGAGAGACACATCAATTGATCTCTTCCCACATGACCCCAACCAGGGCTGGGGATGAACTGCAACCGAGGTACATGCCCTTGGCTAAAATTGAACCTGTGACTCTTTGGTCCATCGGCTGATGCTCTAACCACTGAGCAAAACCAGCCAGGGCTCTTGTGTCTTTTTTTTTTTATCCTCACCCGAGGACATTTTTGCACTTATCTTCAGATAAAGTGGGAGGGAGAGAGGGGGGAAGAGAGAGAGAAACCGATGTGAGAGAAACCGATGTGAGAGACACACATCGACTGGCTGCCATCCGCACAACCCCAACTGGGGCCAGGAACAAACTGCAACCAAGGTACGTGCCCTTAGCGGGAACCAAACCTGGGACACTCTCTCGTCTGCAGGCTGACGCTCTAACCACTGAGCCAAACAGGCCAGGGCTCTGTGTCTTTTTTAATGCTTGCTATCTCTTTAAATTCTCACTGAGATCCTCCATTCTTCTCCTAAATTCCTTGAACATCCTTATAACTATTGTTTTGAATTCTGCATCTGGTAGCTTAGTTGCCTCCATTTCTGGGGATTTCTCGTTTTTTCATTTGGGGCATGTTTCTTTGTCTCCCCATTTTGTCTGCCTTTTTGTGTTTGTGTCTGCGTATTAGGTAGATCTGCTATGTCTCCCAATCTTGTTATCGTGATCTTATGTAGCAGGTATCTTGTGGGGTTCCAATGGTGCATTCTTCCTGATCACCTGAGCTAGGTGCTCCAGGACTCTCTTGTGTGGGTTATTTGAGCCCTCCTGTTGTAGTTGAGTCTTGGATGCTGTTGGCCTATTTGTGTCTGTCCCAATTCTTAGTTATCACATGTGGGTGTGGGATAAGCTCATTTTGTGTCTTCACCCTCCTACCAGTCTCAACATGACTTCTTTATATTGTTGATTATAGGAGTTCTACTCAGCTGGTGTTCAGGTGGTTCTTAGGGTGGTTGTTTTATAATTTAGCTGTAATTTTGAGATGATCATGGGAGAAGATGAGCACAGCATTTACTTCCTCTGCCATCTGTACTGGAAGCCTCTGTTTTTGGAACTTTGATAAAAAAATGTCACTTGATGGGAAAATAAATGTCTGCAAAATTAAATCTGCTTAAATAGGTGTGCCCACTCTAACCTCAGGAAATTAGGCAAGATCTGAACTTATGGGCCATGGCTTGCTCTATAATTTATTTTACTCTGATATACTTTGTTGTCACTTAAGTAACGGGGAATTATTATTCTACCACAGGGCAGGTAATCCAGGAGAAAAGAAAATCCCTCAAGGATGAGAAGGAGCAGGGTGAAACTGAGAAGAAGTGTCAGGATTTTCTGGATATTTTGCTTTCTGCCCAGGTAAATCTTTCAAATTTCTGAGCCTGCTCATATATCTAGTTAATTGTGTGGGTAGGTGGGTGAATGAGAGGAGAGGAGACAAAAGTAAAATTGATCAACTAAAATTAATAATACTTTTGAGTTGATGGGTTGGCTCCATACAATTTGAAGTAAAGATAGAAGTCTGCAGTTTTGTCACTAGAGAAACTCAGATAAAACTAAATGTTTTTACTAATTTGATAGGATTTGATCACTATTGTAAAGATACATGATAGTTCAGGAAAGAAAATGGGCCATAGGGTAAGCTGATAAAATGCTGATGATGAGGTGCTGGAAAATCTGGATGAATCTGGCAGGATGATTGGAGGAGCTCTTTGCAAGGCCTGCTTTCCTTATCTAACTTTGGTCCTCCTCTATACTCTGGGCAAAGTGTGACTCATAGTATATATTTGTTGAACTGAATTAAAATTGAAACTCACGTTGGAAATGCTAATTTTTTCCTTAAAATCATTATTTTGATTGGGGCTCTAAACATCTATAAACTGGAATTGCATAAAGATATCTCTGTTGTACTTTCTAGGCTAAAAATGGCAACGGCTTCTCAGATAATGACCTATATTCCGAGGTGAACACATTCATGATTGCAGGGGTGGACACCATAGGAGGGACCCTTTCCTGGCTCCTCTACCACCTGGCTCAGAACCCTGAGCATCAGAAAAGATGCCGGGAGGAGATCAGGGGCATCCTGGGGGATGGGTCTTCCATCACCTGGTAAGATCTGCATCCCTAAACAATTCATCCTACTTTTTCTCCTGGGATTTTGCTTTACTCTTTCTTCTTCTGACACCTTGGTGACTAGTGCTTCAAAAAATGTGTACGTGGCCCTGGCCGTTTTTTTCTCAGTGGTTAGAGCATCAGCCTGTGGACTGAAGGATTGTGGGTTCAGTTCCTGGTCAAAGGTACATACCTCGGTTACAAGTTTGATCTCTGGCCCCAGTGGGGATTTTTTAGGAGGCAACCAATCAATGTATCTCTCTCATATTGATGTTTCTCTCTCTCTCTCTCTCTCTCTCTCTCTCTCTCCCCCCCCCTTCCTTCCCTTCCACTCTATCTCAAAATCAACGGAAAAATATCCTCAGGTGATAATCAACAATAAAAGAAAGATGCATATGTGGGAGCAGAAGAGGCAGGCTACCATTCTACTCTTTCTAGAGAACCCAAAGTTATCCCTTTGCCTTCTGCAAAAGAGGTTCACACATCTATAAGTTATCTATTTTATTGTTGTTCTAATCAGTAGTGTGTAAAATGTCTTATTGCTTTCACCCAGTTTCTGGTGCACTGGAAATGGGGACTCGATCCATAGACTTACATTTAGAGCTTGAGTGATGGGACTCAAGTGGAGTTCCTCTTCTACAAGAGCTGAGTGAGCATCTGAGCCATTTAAATCTCATCCTTTCTCTCTAGTCTCCTTGTTTACTCCCCAGGTTTGGCTCTGGACTTAGAACATAGTACTAATGATGCACACTGAAGTCGAGTTTAGCAAATATGGACTGAGCACATTTTAAATACTGAGGCACTAAAACTACATGCAAGATTTGGAGTGGGTCCTACCGTCAACGAGCTCGCACCCTAGTGCAGGAGATAGGCCCCCATACAGATAACTGCAGAACAGCATGATAAGGGTGAGATATACGTGTTGGTAACCACAGAAACTTAGAAGACAGGTGCCTAAGCTGGCGTGGGGGTCTCAGGAGACTTCCTGGGGAATCTGATGCTTAAGGTACCTCTTATAGGATGGTTAGGAGTTAGCTTGGTGGAAAATTTCCCCTTCGTTTAGCTAAAATTTGAGCAAACTGTTAATAAAGTCCAGGTTATGAATTTTCCTCTTAAACATGCTGTTTGCCAAGAATACATGTGTCCCTGATATAAACTATACTCTTCATCCTAGCTAGGTATTTCACATATCATTGTTTTGCTGGTCAGAGTTGCAGAGAGATAGAAATGCTAAGGGCAATGCAGTCCCATGGTTAGGGGGAAAAATCATTATTTCAAATGCAAAGTTCAGCTCAACTAGAACATTTGTAAAGGAAAATTTGGATTTACATGGGTTTAGTCGAGATCTCACTTTTTATAAGAAAATAGTAGTCATTTCCTACTATAAATTAAAAGTCTTATCTATATAGCACAAAATGCTGTGCTGATTAGTCACTTTTTATTCATTCATTGAATTTGGAAACACTACTTAGTATCTCCCAACAATAATTAGATATTTTAACCTTGATTATGGTAGATACATATACAACTCAAACAGTGATCTTTCTCATTCTTGTTTGGTTTATATAAAATGTGAAAATAATAAATAAATCTTTGCCAGGTGAGAAAACAAAGTGCAGAGGATCTTGTTACTTGCATTTATTTTAATGAGAGTAATGGCAATAATATTATAGGGAATAAGTATGATTTTATTCTATAATATGGCCTTACAGTTATACTTAATGAAATTTGAACATAGCATTCTGAGAATTAATAATTTCCTTTAGACAGATAATAAAACCACACTGCAAAAAGCAGTTTCTGGAAAAGCTAAAAAGTTGTTCAGTGTTTTCGTCTGGCTCTTTATCAGCCCATTTCTGCTTTGGGTTAAAATTCTTCTCTTCTTTTTGCACGAGGGCTGAGATAAACGACGTTATTTTTCTTAAATATACAAAGTTCCAGACTAAGCACATGACTCTTTTTATTCTGGGCTCAAGGAAGAAAGAGTTAAAATTTCACCATTACTGAAAGGCTAAAGCCTACATTCAAACTAAGTAATCAGAAAAGCAAATAGAAATACAATAAAACAAACAGAGTAAATACTACATGCATTCATTTTATTGAACCAATCTGACTGGCTAGGGTGCAAATTAAAACTTCATTCTTCTCCTGCCAACATTTCAAACTTGTTCTGTGGGGTAGATTCTTCTGGTGTGAAATGTGGAGTGAATCTCACATATTCTGATTGATTTAAATAACAAGAACAGTCTCATTCCAATAATTAAGCTGTCTGACACAGTAGAAGATTACTTCAATTTCCCATCCACTTGGAGCATCTCCCTCTATCCCAGCTCAGTACCTCTTTGGGTCTGGGAGCCAGCAGTAGGTCAGTGGCTTGCGGTTGGCTTCCTCTTATTGACCAGCTCCTCCCCTCCCCTGCTGTTTCTGACCCTCCCAGAAATGGTCCCAGGAGGGAGAGAGGGTAAAGAGAAAGTGGCTGGTGCTGTTGTGATCTTGCCCTCTGAGCCTGGTGGATATTCAAATGCTTCCTTTGATTCTCAATAGGTGCATCTGTGGGTTTCCTGGAGATTCCCTCATAGGGACTTTACAATGGTGGTTCGTGGGGCAGGGGAATTCTTGTCCTTAGAATTCCCTTCAAGTTGGTTCCGCAGCTCTCCCCGGGGCCAGTTCATTGGCCCACAGGACTTATGGAAGTATTCTTGCTTTGTCCCTACTGCTCTCTCAAGTCTCTCTCTCTCTCTCTCTCTGTCTGTTCAGAGTTACAGCTTTTTCTATCAGTCCCGTGTCCCCAAACTCCAGGGAGCACGTTTCCGATCACCTCACGGATCCTCTTGAAGCCCCTCTGCTTAGCACGGGAGGGAACACCCCCCGCCACTCTCCACAGTACTCCGGCATTTCAACGATGCTCTTTAAAGGAGGTTTTTTTTCTATCAACACTCTTGAGCCTCCTCTCTTCAACCCTTAGCCATTCCGTATGCATTCTTGATTTGTATAATGAGCTAAGGTTGCAAGACTGGTTTTCAAAAATCCTTTACTCCTACGTTAGTTAGCACCTCACTGTGTAACGAGGACATTTGGCACCTGCTTCGTTCTTCTTCCTCTGGAAAGGCATTCCATTTTAAAATTCTGTTACCTAACCAGTTGGAACCATAGCTTTCACCTGAGGATGATATTTACCAAGAACAAACATCAATATTTACAAACCGGATATGGTGTCTGAGTTCCTTTCCCTCCTTCCCTTGTATCCACAGGGACCAGCTGGGTGAGATGTCATACACCACAATGTGTATCAAGGAGTCTCTCCGATTGTGCCCTACAGCCACAGCCATTTCCAGAGAGCTCAGCAAGCCCATTACCTTCCCAGATGGACGCTCCTTGCCTGCAGGTCTGTGCACTCTTTTCTTAAGCAGTTCCTAGAGCCTGTGGGATCCCAGGGACGACAATAAAAGACCAGTGGGTTTCTCAATTCTTGGGGAAGTCAAAAGACAGCCCTAAAGACCCTTGGCTTAAGGCTGAGTACCTATTAAGTGAGAGCTCAGTGAGCATTGCCTTGATCAGATGTGGGTTTCAGCGACTTTCCCAAAGGCATATAACCATTTGCAGCACAACTGTGCTTAGAACCTATGTCACCAGAATCCGAACCCAGGGTTTCTTCCATTATGGGACATTGTTTTTAAGATAATCCTTATTGCCCTGGCCGGTTTGGCTCAGCGGTTAGAGTTGGCCTGCGGTCCAGAGAGACCCGGGTTCGGTCCCCGCTAAGGGCATGTACCTCAGTTGCAGTTTGTCCCCGGCCCTGGTTGGGTCGTGCAGGTGGCAACCACTCGATGTGTCCCTTTCACATCGATGTTTCTCTCTCTGTCTCTCTTCCTCTCTCTCCCTCCCACTCTATCTGTACAAAAAATGGAAAAAAATGTTCTCGGGTGAGGATTTAAAAAAAATAAAAAAAAGATAATCCTTGTTTAGTTGAGTTTGAGACCCAGGTGAGACTTCATGGGAAGTGAACACTATTATCTTTATCTAGAAGACACAAGAAAAGTTTTCAGCTTCATCATCATAATAATATTACCCTAATAAGTGAACAGCACTTGATATTTTACATAGAGCCTTCAAACATTTTATCTCATTTTCCCCTTGGAACATGATCTTAGCAAACACTTGTAGTGCTTTGCCGTTTAAAAGCACTTTCAAATACTTTTTGTGTAGCCAAACCCCCCAGGGGGGACCGCAGTGTGCAGTGAGCAGAGCCAGAGCTCACGCTGTGGTCCGGTGCGCAGAGCCCGGGGCTCTTCAGAACAACACAGGCCTCTGAGCAGGGTGGGCGGGAGGCAGAGGGGTCACACAAAACACCCTTCACGTACCTGCTTCATTGTTCTATTTATTCTTGCCCTTGGAAACAAGCTGACAGCCTGTTACTTACTGTGACATTATGACAGATTAAGAATTAATTTACCAGAATTATTTCTGGTAAACAAATAATCCTAAATTCTCTCTCCTCTGTCTTTTTTAAAATTCCCAAATTAATCCCAGCCGATGTGGCTTAGTGGTTGAGCATACCCATGCACCAACAGGTCGCCAGTTCAATTCCCGGTCAGGGCATAAGCCCAGGTTGTGGGCCAAATCCCCAGTGAGGGGCATGCAGGAGGTGGCCAGTCGATACTTTCTCTCGTCAATGTTTCTATTTCTCCCTCTCCCTTCCTCTCTCTCTAAAATCAATAAAGAAACAAATTTTTTTTTAAAATTCCCAAACTACATGGGTATTTGCCCAAATTCCCCACCCTCTGTATAGGAACAGCACCAACAGAAATTTGTCATTGGATTTGCATGATGGAATTGCAGTTCAGTTCTTATGTCCCCAAACTATCTCCAGTGGGTGCTTCACAGTCCATTAATAGATACACAGTAGTCCCTTCTTATCCATGGTTTCATTTTCTCTGGTTCAGTTACCTGCAGTCACCTGGGGTCTGAAACCCTTATTTTACTTAGTAACAGCCCCCAAAGCACAAGAGTTGTGATACCAGCAATTCAGATATGCCAAAGAGAAGCTGTAAGTGCTTTTTTAAAGAGAAAAGGTGAAAGTTCTTGTACACTGAATTTGCGATGATCTACTGTAAAATTGAATTTTCTATTTGTGAAATTGTGAAGAAGGAAAAAGAAATTTGTGCTAGTTTTTCTGTTGCACCTCACACTGCAGAAGTTGTGGCCACAGTGCAGGATCAGTGTTTAGTTAAGATGGAAAAGGCATTAGAGTTGAGGGTGGAAGATGTGAACAGAACACATGTTTGATTGATGGCAGCGTATTGTACCAGAAAGTATGAGCCTATATGAAGACTTCAGCAAGAGGTCCACTGAAACAAGTAACACCCAGCTATTCACTGCAAGCAAGGAGGGCTCCGCAGATTCAGGAACAGATTTTATTGTCGCACATCATCACAAGAAGTGTGAGTACAGCACACTAAGACATTTTGAGAGAGAGTTCACATTCACATGACTTTTATTATAGTATATTGTTATAATTGTCCATTTTATTATTAGTTGTTGTCAATCTTGTACTGTACCTAATTTATAAATTAAACTTCATCATAGGTATGTATATGTAAAAATATAGTATAACCCTGCCAGGTTTGGCTCAGCAGTTAGAGCGTCAAGCCCACAGACCAAAGAGTCACAGGTTTGATTCCAGTCAAGGGCACGTACCTCGGTTGCGGTTCGGTCTCCTGCTCAAGGTCGTACAGGAGGCAACAAGTTGATGTGTCGCTCTCATATGGTTGTTCCCCCCCACACACACATACTCTATCTGAAGATGAATGGAAAAATATCCTTGGGTGAGGATTATAAAATACAAAACAAAACAAAAAAGCATATATATATATATATATATATATATATATATATATATATATGGTTTGATACTATCTGTAGTTTCAGGGTTTCACTGGGGGTCTTGGAATGTGCCCCCATGGTTAAGGAGGGACTACTGCATAAGTAATTTCCAAAGGTAGCAGAAAACATAAGCATGTTTTGACATGATACCAATAGCCTTTTAAGACAGAATCATGTGTTAAGCAGATCCTGTTTGAAAACTAACGTGCCACCAAGCTCCTCTTCCCGTGGGTCCTTCACTGCGGGCCTTCACTATAGCTAGCTCCTGCCCTTCTAGAAGAAAAGTCTACTGAAGAGTAGTGTAGCAGTAGCCCTCTGCTCACTTTTTCCCCTGTGATCTCTTTTATCTCTTTCCTTTCCCAGGAATGACCGTGGTTCTCAGTATTTGGGGTCTTCACCGCAACCCTAACGTCTGGGAAAACCCCAAGGTATGATTGTCTTACATGTAAATACTTCAAAGAACTAATGCTATGCAATTCACTTTCTGTTAGCTCTGCAAGGAAGTGGCAAATGATACAGCAAACAAAAATAAACCTAAACACCAAAAATGTAAAACTTTTCCACTAAAGGAAAATTGTCCTTCCCCTCTATTCCTACTTTATCTTTGCTTTGAATGAACAAATTGGCATAATGTTACACGGGCTGCTTTAAATGGCCACGGTCGTTTATTTAACAGGCTCTACCAAGCACTTCCCCAGATATCTGCAAGAGTGTAGATGGTCAGTAGTAATTCAGGCAACTCAAACTCCCTTTTGCTGGATGTTACAATAAGGATTTTGGCAGGAAATCAATGGTGCCCTCAAGCTGGGCAATTTGATGAGAACTTATGAAGGAACTATTGATGAAAGTATGGGTTAGGGTTTAGGAAAAGCAAAATGAAGCAAATAACTGCCGAAGGGCTTACCACTTTCCCGCCTGATGAGACACAGGACAGAGGGTCACAAACCTGGAGAGAGAGCTCCTGGGAAGGCCATCAGACAGGACTTGTGGCTGTCAGCAGAGCATGCAGCAGACCTTAGTGGGTAGGGGCCCAGGGAAGAGATACCCCCAATGCTCTCTCCTCCCACCCTCCAGATCTCCTATCAACACCTTTCCTTGGCCAAACCCACAGAACAGCATGTGGGTCAACTTTTTAGATCCCAGAGCAGGGAGGAGAGAGGATCTGGAGAGGCAAAAAGATGTGTAGCATACCTAAATTCCTTGATTCAATGTTCTCAAAACTGTAAACACAACATGTATGAGTGCCTCCTTTTACAAAAGCTGCTAGGGTTAAAGATTGATTACATGTAATGGCAAATTGGTCCGCATATCCCAGTGACAATGATCACGTGATCGTTTTGACCTGACTTCTAAGAAGGTTCTCTCTTACCTCCCCATGAAAATAATAGCACTGGCCATTAGTAGTTCTGCTTTTCCCTTACTTAGTCTGGGTAACAGACTAGTCAGTTGGGAAGCCAGATAAGGTCATACAAAGGTCTAGAGTTGCACTGTCCGGGGTGGTAGCCGTGTGGCTACTGAGCACTTGGAATGTGATGATTAGTCAAAACAGAGATGTGCTGGAAAAAATTCACACCAGATTTTAAACATGTATCAAAAAATGTGAAATATTTCCTCAATAATTATTTATATTGGATAGATGTTGGAATGATAATGCTGTCTGTTAAATAATTTATATTATTAAAATTTATTTCACCCTTTAAAATGTGACTGCTAGAACATTTGGAATTATATATGTGGTCCAGAGTATACTTTTGTTGATCAGTGCTAAGTAGTAGCTTAAGAAATGAGTTAATGGTGTTGGGGGGTGCCATCTCATTTCAGGTCTTTGATCCTTTGAGGTTCTCTCAGGAGAATTATAGTAAGAGACACAGCCACTCCTACTTACCATTCTCAGGTGGACTAAGGTGAGGACAACTTGAAGCTGTTGAAAATATACAAAAATGTTTACTTGGGGACAGTGTCTTTCCTTTAGCCCCTCAGCTCTATCACTTCTCCATGGAAACCCATCTTCTCACCTGACCATGAGGAGATCTTGGTGCCCAGCTGAGCCTCTGAGAGGGCCAGTTAGTTCCACAAAGGACAACGGCCCCCTTTAGCACATCCTCTGTAGCCCTGTCCCAGAAAACTATCTCATGACTCCAGTTGCTGCTCATAGGTCAGTGCAGTCTACCCCCGCTACAGGTGGGCTACTTTTATTTTTTTCTAAAAATAGAAAAAGATTTTTTTTCAGTTCAGCCTTATTGAGGTATAATTGACATATAAAATTGTAAGATCTTTAAAATGTATATTGTGATAATTTCACATGTACATTGTGAAAAGATTCCTCTTCATTCAGTTAATTAACATATTCTTCACTTCACGTATTTGTGTGTGTGTGTGTATACACTACTGTATAACTGTAACTCACTTTCTTAGCACATTACAATGATACAACAGTGTTATCAGCTACAGTCATGGTGTTTTCCATCAGATCCTCGCAGGAGAAACAATTCTCTGAGCAGCTCCAAGCGCCACCTTGTTTAGGGAGGGCATGGCATTGGGGCCCCCAGCTCACATTCTTGCAGGAGACCATGTAAACCCAAAGTAGAAAAGTTTGTATGGCATTTAGAATGAAAATGGTGCTTTACTGAGAACATCAAACTTGTTATTCTAGCATCTTATTGAAGAGTCAGGAGAAACACATTTGATCAAGTATCTGATTTTTCTCGGTGTCTACAGGAACTGCGTCGGGCAGCACTTTGCCATGACTGAGTTAAAGGTGGCCGTTGCCTTGATTCTGCTCCGCTTCGAGCTGACTCCAGACCCCACCAGGCCTCTTATCCTCATATCCAAGATTTTGCTCAAACCCAAGAATGGGCTCCACTTGTACCTGAAAAAAATCTCCTAATGTTAGAGCCCAGGGTACAATGATTATAAATATTTTGTTTTAAAGTTAAATTACAGCTAATCATCCAAGAACATGGAGAGGAATCAAAGTGTGGTGGGAGGGTTATGGGTAGGTGGGATGGGGGTCTCTGTGGAGCTGCATATTATCCAAAAACATTCCTAGGTGACAGAGGGTGTCACCTAGATCTGTTTCTGTATGACTTTGGGAGATTGTCAGATCTTTGCTATCGATTTTGGCTACTATTAATGCTATATACCAAGAAGTTTGCTAGGTGACTTCCATACATGTTCTGTTGTTTTTTGAAATAGTTTCCAGAATTACACAGGAATAGGTGAATGTATTCTCACTATAAAAGATTTCCAACACTAGAAAAAGCACATAGAGCAGCAGTTCTCAACCTTGTGGGTCGTGACCCCTTTAGAGGTCAAAAAACCCTTTCACAGGGGTCGCCTAAGATATAACAGTAGCAAAATTACAGTTATGAAGTAGCAATGAAAATAATTTTGTCGTTGGGGGTCACCACAACATGAGAAACTGTATTAAAGTATTGTGGCATTAGGAAGATTGAGAACCACTGATGTAGAGTAAAAAGTAAAAATCCCATTTCACATAGCACCCCCTTTCTGCCCTGACCAATCCTGCTGATTTTTGAAAAAACAGAGTAGTTTGGTGTGCATTCTTTCAGACTTTTTTCTGTACGTTTCATATGTATATAGGTATGTACGTATTCTTATAGATGGGGTTTTATCCATATTATTCTTGTTTTTTTCACTTAATAAATATACATCTCATTCACAATTCTGACTCATGATATTTTGTAGTTATGGATATACCATAATTTATTTAACTATTTTTCTACTATTGGGTATTTAACTTATTTGAAGTTTTAAAGACATGCTTATAGGCCATTTGTGTTTATTTTTTTGTTGTTCTCTATGCTTTATACAATACGTTTATCTATGGCGTTGTCTTTTTCTTATTAATTCATATGAGTTCTTTATATATTGTGGATAATAATCCTTGATTGTAACTTTCTTTCTAACTTTTGCCATTCTTTTCCTTTTTAAAATGGTACTTATGGTGTCAGTTACCATATAGAACTTTTAAATTTTCATGAAATAGCATATAGCATATATAGCCTGGCCAGTGTGGCTTAGTGGTTGAGCACTGACCCATGCACCAAGAGGTTGCTGGTTCTATTCCTGGTCAGGGCACATGCCCATGTTGTGGGCCTGATCCCCAGAGGAGGGCATGCAAGAGGCAGCCCATCAATGTTCTTGCTCATCGATGTCTCTCTTTTTCCCTCTCTCTTCTTCTCTCTCTAAAATCAATAAAGAAAATAAAAAATATATACATGTATCCTTTAAAGGGCAGGAGGGTCAAGATACCCAATAATTTTAGACTTTGTCAAACATGCAAAATAAAATTTTCTTTTTTTAAAAATGTTTGTATTGATTTTTTTTAGAGGAAGGGAGAGAGAGAAACATCAATGTGAGAGAGAAACATGGATCAGCTGCCTCCTGCATGCCCCCCACTGGGGGTCAAGCCCACAACCTGGCCTTGTGCCCTGACCAGGAATTGAACCAGGACCTCTCAGTCCATGGGACAATGCTCAATCCACTGAGCCACACCAGCCGGGCTAAAACCTTTTCTTTATGGTCTCTGGGTTTTGAGTCTTGGCTAACAAAACCTTCATTTGGAATATTGTCAAAATAATTTTACACATTTTCTTGGTGCTAACAACTTTTGTGAAGTCTGAATGGGAATTTCATAATGATTTTCAGGTTCATCACTTATTTGATGTTTACGTGCTTACTACGTGTCAGATATTTTGATACGCGTTAGAGATTCAGTGGGTTAATAGACATGCCCCTGCCCTCGTGGAGTTGGTATTCTAAAGCGGAAGATGGGGTAACAGATAGCTAGGAATTGTAGAAAGTGCCACGAAGGAAATGAGTGGGCTGAGCTAGACAGTAATCAAGGGGAACTTACTTGAATTGGGTCGTCTAGAAAATTCTTTTTAAGAAGGTGACATATGACATCCGGTCATGATGGCAGCAAAGGTAAACATGGTATTACCTCCTCCCACAACCACATCAAAATTACAGCTAAACAACAGCACAACTACCCTTCAGAACAGCCTGCAATCAAGCTGAATGGAAGTCCTACAACTACAAAATTAAAGAAGCAGCCACATTGAGACTGGTCGGAAGGAAGGAGGCGCAGACGGGCTGGTCCCACACCCACATGTGGTGGATAAAATCAGGAGGACACCTCGGCTGGGAAGGTCCTCCCCGAGGAGCAAGGGATCCCCAGGCTGCCAGCTCAGGGTTCTAGTGCCAAGAAGAGAAGTCCCCATCACTTCTGGCTGTAAAACCAGCGGGAACTGAGGCTGAGGGAGGCTGAGGCTGAGGTTGAGGGAGCTGGAGCCCCCAGGCAGCTCCTCTTAAAGGGCCCACGCAGGGGTTTACTGGGACTTGCTCCCTCTGAGCTCAGAGGGGAGGCAGCTTGAGAGGTGCAAGAGACTTACAGGGAAGAACTGAGCTGGTTGGCCTCGGGACAAGGGCTGGAGAGGGAGCTTTCTCCTGGACAGACTGCTGTCAGAAGCCTTTGTTCCTTTGGTGAGCCCTACCCTGGGGCGGCAGACAGCCACCATATCTGGGACTCCAGCAACCTGGCTCACACTGGTAGCCCCGCCCTGCAGACTCCCTGAAGCCACGCCCCGCCCAACTTTCAGGCCCACCCAAGCTGTTTCCAAAGGCTTTACCATAGGATTGGTCTGTCTTGGATCCTGCTTCAGAGTTTCCTAAAATATGGCCTTCATGACTACCTGAAGGCATGCACCCCACAGTCAGGATTGTGGCAAGGATGGTCTGGGTACCACTGAAGGCTTTAAGAAAAGAAAGAGACACATTTATTTAAAAGGAAGAACAAAACTGTCATTATTAAAGCCAAGAGGGAGTGACTGAAATTAAAGGGGGCTAAAAATACATGTGTCCTTTGAAGGGCAAGAGGGTCAAGATACCCAATAATTTTAGACTTTGTCAAACATGCAAAATAAAAATTTCAGGCACAGCTACTAAAGAACAGAAATCAAATGTATAAATTCTAAATCTGTAGAGGAAAGTATAGAATATAAAAAGACAGACTGTTTTTTAAAAACTCAATACATTCTCCCAAAAAAGTGCTGGAAAGGAGGAACAGAGAGCACAGGCAGGGAGGCCACGCAAAGCACTCAGTGAGGTGGCAGCGCCGGCTGGAAATACCGCGGGTCACCGAGTGAGCATGCAAAGGGCTTGTGAGTTGAGACACAGAGGCTGTCAGAGTGCACTTTTATTTTTCTTTAATCCTCACTCAAGGATATTTTTCTGTTTATCTTCAGACAGACTGGGAGAAAGGGAGAGAGAGGGAAACAGTGACGTGAGAGGGACACATTGACTGGTTGCCTCCAGCGCTACCCCAACCAGGGCCAGGGACAAGCCGCAACCGAGGTGTGTGCCCTTGGTCAGAATCGAACCCACGACTCTTTGGTCCTCAGTCTGACGCTCTAACCGCTGAGCCAAACTGGCCAGGACAGAGTGCACTTTTAGAATATAAGACATTCTTAAATCATAATGCCATGGAATTATCGAAAGTAAAAGGATGATGAATATATGACAGGAAATTGGAGTGGCTATATTAATATTATAAAATAGATTAAGTAAAAGCAAAAATATTATCTGGGGGGGGCACTGTATTTAAAAGAAAAATATTCAACACACCAGGAAGCTATAAAAATTCTAAACATATTTCTAAAACCTCAAAATGTATATTAAAAATTGATAAAACTACAGGGTCATAAAAAAATCCACAATTTTGGTGGGACCCCTTAATGCATTTGCTCAGAAATCAATGGACTTATATTTATAATTATAATACAGTACATATACATAAGATTCAATCTAACATAATTTACCATTTTGATTTAATGAATATATAGAACTCAACATCCAAAAATTAGAAAGACTCATACTTATGAAGATTCAACAACATTTACAAAAATTGAGCACAAACAACACCATATATCAATTCTCAAAATATTTCAAAGAATTAATTTAATATAAACTATATTCTCAGACAACAGTACAATTAATTCAGAAACCAATAGGAAAGGTCATGTGTGCCTAGCCCCTACTCTGGGTGCAGCTGCTGTCCTAGATTACAGCGGACAACCCTAACAGCCAGGTCCAGCATGCCTGCACCATTCTTGGATTAGCAATCAGTTTGTGGTAACCCCACTAGACCCTCATTTACGTCCAATGGACATGTTCTTTCAGCTAATGTTTCACAAGCTTCACTGAGTATCAAAAGAGAAAATGAATAAAAGGAAAATGTAAACCTACTTTGACACGTACAAAATGTACATGTCATTATCTGAAGGGTACCTCACACCCATTGGGATGACTACTATTTAAAAAGTCAACAGAGCCCTGGCCGGTTTGGCTCAGCGGTTAAAGCGTCAGCCTGTGGACCAGAGAGGCCTGGGTTCGGTTCCCACTAAGGGCACGTACCTCGGTTGCACTTTGTCCCTGGCCCCAATTGGTGTCATGTAGGTGGCAACCATTCAGTGTGTCTCTCTCACATCAATGTTTCTCTCTCTCTCTTCCACCCTCTCTCCCTCCCACTCTATCTGAAGATGAATGCAAAGGTGTCCTTGGGTAAGGCCGGTTTGGCTCAGCGGTTAGAGTGTCAACCTGTGGACCAGAGGATAAATAAATAAATGAATAAATAGTCAACAGAAAATAAGTGTTGATAAAAATATGGAGAAGTTGGAACCCTTGTGCATTGTTGGTGGGAATGTAAGATGGTACAGCCACTGTGGAAAAGAGTATGGTATGTATCTGAAAGAAGTGAAAGTAGAATCTCGGAGAGCTATTTGTACATTCGTATTCACAGAAGCACTATTCACAATAGCCAAGAGGTGAAAGCACCCCCAAATGTCCACTGATAGATGAATGGAT